AAGCCTCCGCCATGAAGAATAGAGATAAGGAGACCGAACTGTATGTTCGGGACACGCGGCCAAAACCGATCCCCGATGGTTGTATCTTTAGGTACCAATCAGTGAACTCTATACATACTGGAATGAGTGATCTATTGTTCTGGCTGTTGCCGAGAGAGAGGTGCGTTTGGGTGAATCCTTGTCTCCTTCTAGTACTACCTGATTGGATAGTCGCATATAAATGACGAGAAGAAGGGCGTCATTTATGTGCGATTATCCAATCAGGTAGTACTAGAAGGAGACAAGGATTCACCCAACGCACCTCTCTCTCGGCTACAGCCAGAACTATAGATCACTCATTCCAGTATGTATAGAGTTCACTGGTACCAATAGATGGCACTGCAATCTGAAGGTACCCGATGGCTATTGGCTTAGAGTTGAGGAGGAGGAGAGATTGCAGGGTGGAGAGTTAAAAGGTGCGTTCGGGGAGCGCGCTTTCAGCGCTAAAAGCGTCTTCTATCTTTGTTCGACGTACAGTGAGTGACGAAGATAGACTGACGTTTTCAGCGCTAATAGCGTCTCCCCGAACGCAGCCAAAGTACAAGATAAATTCGGCCACATTTGTTATTGTTTTTCCATCGATTATTAGTAATATTTCTTATAATACTGAATGTGACATGAAAGTGCGAAGACCAAAAATTTTAAACTGTATGGAAAATTTTTAACAGAACAAAGAGGTTGTCGATATACAAATGAAGTAAAAGTTTGAGGTTAGTATTAGCATATGTTTGTACATTATTATTTTTATTTAAACTTTGTTGAAGTATCAACTGCTATTCTGTTCTCTGTTACGTTACATTACGCACAAATTTTATTTGAAACTTATTCAAATTATGATAAATGTTTTTTTTCTCAGTATTCAAATGGAGATGTACAGCTGTTCCGGAAAGGATTTTCATCTCCAACAAAACTGAAAGACTCCTAAATGACAATCTCAATACATAATTCGTTAGTATTGCTAATGATACAGTTTTTGAGTGTAACATATTAAGTGAGGAATTGAGACAGACTTTTTTCTTTTCCGTCGGCTGATAGACGAATCGTACGAGAAATTAAAATAAAATATAATTGATTGAATTGCCCATATTTAAGAATCTCTGAATGAAAATTGTACATAATGTATATTTGAATTGTAAATAATAACGCCACAATTGTAAATGTTATAATTGTAGATAATATTTGTTCCCATGGTCTCTACCACTCATTGTACATACATTTTATAATTTATTTATTCGATAATCCATCGATTATTTATACTCGACGATTAAGAGCCATGGATAATAATTGTAAATACTCAGAGGACGATTTTATTCTTAAAAAATTCACTTTCACCGACTTATATGATAGTATAAAAGACATAGAAAAACCATGTAACTGGGCAGACATTAGATTTGATAAGTGCGTTTCGTTCGTGGAAATGTTAGATAATCATCAGGAAGGTGTAAAAATTGTCATAATGAACAATTTAGAAATTAATGTATTCTATAATAATAAGTTCATACCCTGGATAACATTTGATAGAATTAAAGCGCTCGAAGATATATCAGGGATAATACATTTGTTAGACGGACTAAAATTGTAAAAAAAATTATAAGGGGATTTAAATAAACATCCGTAACTAAATTATTTGCTTTCATGTAATTTATTATCAATAAATGTTTTAGATGTATTAAATTTTCATAATGTCGGAATTAAAAACAATAAAATACCATTGTATAGATAAACTTCGTTGCACTGTACTAGTGCATTTCAAACTCATCACATCTTGTTAAATATCCAGGGTTGGGAAAGTTACTTTATAAAAGTAACTAGTTACAGTTATAGTTTTTTCGCTAACAATGTAACTAGTTACAGTTACAGTTACAGATGTAGAAAAAGTAACGAAGTTAAGTTAGAGTTACCAAAAAGAAGTAACTGTAACTGTAACTTCGTTACAAGTAACGAGTTACTTCCCAACCCTGTAAATATCTAATATAAAAAGTCATCTAATACAAACAATCGTCAAAGTTTCGCGTTTTTTCGGTTTTTTTGAGTTTTCAATCTGCTAGCTTTTAGTTTCTTATTAAAACGTTTCGCTAAAAACTCAGCACGGATAATAACGTAAAAACTAGCTATGGACTTCGTCAAGGTTTTCATATGTTCAGAGCATCCAATAAGAGGAAGCGACAACTCTTGCAATGAATAACTTATCTGAAAAATTGTATCGCAATTGATACCTACCGAATCTACTGTTTTTAACACAGTTTTCTCCACTTCTTCTATCAATTCAATTAACCTATCAGAGGGATTGATTAAATGTCCACGCGACAACAAAGAAATTAGTTCGTGATTTGCATGATCTGGATTTGTTGATTGAATGCTTTGAATGCAATCAGTACATTTCGTCCATCTGTGCGATTTTCTCACAATATATCCAGACATGTACTCCATTAGAGAACGTTGAACTTTTTCGGTCTCACTTTGCTCCAGTT